TTGAAACAAATGCCCCTCTAAAGCCAAAGACTTGGTAGGATCAAAGGAAAGCAAACCTTAACTCTTGAATTTTATTTTTTTAAAGATTTTATTTATTTATCTGAGATAGAGAATGAGTGGGGAGAGGACATAGGGAGAGGGAGAAGCAGGCTCCCCCCTGAGCAGGGAGCCCAATGTGGGGTTGGAGCCCAGGACCCTGGGATCATGACCTGAGCTGTAGGCAGATGCTTAACCCACTGAGCCACCCAAGTGCCCCCTGAACTCTTGAATTTTAGAGAAGAGTTCTACTACAGAATCCAGTTGTTCCAGCCTTGAATTTTATAATTTCACTGAGATTAATCAGAAATCATTTTTTTAAAGATTTTATTTATTTGAGAGAGAGAGCATGAGCGGGAGGGAGGGGCAGAGGGAGAAGCAGACTCCCCACTGAGCAGGGAGCGTAAGGGGGACTTGATCCTAGGACCCTGAGATCATGACCTGAACCAATCAGAAATTTTTAAGTAGGGGCACCTGGTGGCTCAGTCAGTCAGGTGCCCGCTCTTGGTTTCTGCTCCGGTTATGATCTCACGGTCAAGGGATGGAGCCCGGAGCTGGCTCTGTGCTCAGCAGGGAGTCTGCTTAAGGTTCTCTCCCTCTCCCTTTTCCCCTCCCCCACACTCACACACACACTCTCTCTCTCTCTCAAATAAATAAAATCTTTTAAAAAAATCATTTTGAGGAGACTTAATGTTTAATTTATTTTCAAAAAATTTTCTCAATCCTATTTTTGATTTGATAGAACAAGGCACAATGTATATTAGTCTGTTTAAATGTTATTATTTGTAATGACATTACCAAATAATTTTTTCTTTACTGTGAAATAAGTATTATTACCATTTTACAGATGAGGAAATTATGGTTACAGACAGGTGAAATAACTTAGGGAGTCATAAAGAATAGAGAGAACAAAGATGGAATTTAGAGACAAAATGACCAGGGTTTAAATATAGTCCAGCCACCTACTAGCTTTGACCAAGTTCCTTCATCCAAGCCTTTCATCTGTAAAATGAAGATACTACCACCTACTTCTCAAATAATTGATGTAAGGTATAAGTAAAACACCTCACAGAAAGCGTAGTAGAGTTGGCCATTCAAGAAACATCAGCTCTCCCACCAATCCACAATCTTATTTTCTTCAGCTGGTACAATGGGTGTATAACGAATCCATATGCTGTTGTGAGTTTAGTGAGAAAATAGCACAAGCGGGGCACCTGGCAAGTACAGGGCTCAATACATTTGTTCTCTCCCCCAGTATTCGCTCCCTTACCCTAGGTCCCACAGTTACTGAATGGCTGAGACACAATCAAGTCCCGATCTTGGTTGCACTATAGAACGGTTTCTGTACACCGGCATTTTACTTCTGGTAGTACCTCATTTAACTGCAAAAACAAATTTAAGCTAGCTGCTTGGTCAGTTGTTATTTTAATGTGTTCCCAGTAAAATCAAATTCATTTCTGGGGCAGCTTTACTTTTCAGTAATCAGAAAAAAGTGATTAATATTTCTGACTTGAAAATATGTATTTTTGGTACATATTTCTACTGGCACTTCCGTAATATATATTCTTAATATTTTATAAACTATTATAACTCAAAAGATAGTTAAAAATCTATTACTTAGGATATTACATGTCTAAGCATTTAAATGATTCCATTTGATATACTGAGTTCAAAGATATTAGGTAGCCTTTTCATTTTTCCTATTTGCTCCCAAATAAAATAACAAAGTAGGGTAGTAAATGTGGTAAATAAATGCAGATATTCATAAATGAAACAGATGTGTGAAAAATATGGACCAGATCTGCATTTATGAGGCAATGACCTTCAAAACTGGCAGGGAGCTGTTAGCAATGTTCTTCACAGGGGAGCAATTATATTACAAGCCTCCTATGTATACTTTCATTTCTCATGATCTACAAATACATTTGCATATCAGAAAGAATAAAAGAATAGTCTGGTAACTGTGGCAACCTTCATTGAGAGGATATAAGGCATTTTCCTTACCTTAATAATCACATTCTAAATGCCAGAGCGGTATAACTGGTGCATTATGAAAGACAAGACCAATACTTTGACAGAATTTTCTACAACTGAAATTTACTAAATGTGGCTATTATGGCTCTAACCCAGTGATACATTTCTGACTCTCTAATCCCCTAAGTGTTCTCTGATTATCTCAAGAAGTACTGAAATCTTTCTAAAATATATACCTTATTTAAAGAAAAATATGGCAAACAGTACTTTAAGGAAAATGATTCCAAACTATCACCAAAAATTTTTAAAAATATACTGTACAGCAATTCCTAAAATGTTAGGAATATTGCTTCAACCTAGCAAGTAGCTCACAGTTTCTTTCCATACTGATTTAAAAGACTCTATGTCCAATGTTTGACAAATAAGTGCATGCACAAACACAAACACACACTACAGAAATGGATAAGGGGGAGAAAGTTGCTAAGAAAAGCTCAATCTCTAAACGCTCAAAAAAGCTATCTGCACAAAATATTAATTTCACATAAGATCCTGTCTTTTTTTTTTTTAACCTTTCCTCACATTGGGTAAAAACAAAAGCAATTCACAGTAGTGGTGCCAAAGACTGACAATATTACATAAACTTCAGAATTCCTGTGTTTAATTTTCACTAAAGAATCACAGTGCACTATCATTAACATGTCTAGACAGTGGACACTCACTACAGTATAGTCATGTTACACCAAGCTTATTTTTCTGTGGCCTAAATATTTATAACACATTAAATTGTAATAATGTAAAATAAGACCAGCAGGAAAATAAACACAACCATAGCAAGATATAACAAGCATAAACCCAGTAAGTCCTGCTTGACCGAAAAATATTATTTTTCTCAATGGCAATAAAAATTACCCACAACTATAATACCAATCAACCAACTTCAGAGGTTCCACCAACTGGGAAAAATAACTAGTTGTCTTATTGTGATACCTTAAAATCACAAGATTGCCACTAGTGGAGTGGTGATGTGAATTGCGTTTCATTTGTACTCTATACCTTGGCAAAAGTTAATGACCTGCCCCAGAAATTTTATTTCACCATATACCCCAAAGTATTTTTAGGACTCACAAAGTCTAAATCTCACACTGCCGTTGATATGCTATCATGTAAATGCTTTAAATTTTAAAACGAAAGGATAAAAACTTTAAAAGCTCTAGACAATGTATTCAAATAGTGAATGTCAAGTCAATGCCTTCTCCTCCCCCACTGAAAAACAAAAAAGAACTGTACACGACAAATAAAGATACAATAGAAACAAAAAGTAGCATGCCACTCATTCAGTAAGGAAATAATAACAGAACATCTATCATATTCAACTACAAAAATCCTTTCATTGGATGGCTAGCGTCGTTATGACTGTTTAATCTGTATTTAAGTGGCCTTAAAAAAGAGATTTTGTTCCCTTTCTCTGCCCTCCTGGATCTTCGGCGGCAGTCAGCACTTATACCCAGAGCTGGTTTGGGGAGTGGGAGAAAAGGGAAAGTGGAGACATGTCATCAAGATGATTTTGATGTCTCTAGAGTCTGAGGACCTTTAAATGTTGATAATGATGAAGGAGAAAAATGAAGAGGTGGAGGGAGAGGAAAACAAAACCACTACCATCACCAAACTGGAGAATGATAAGTCTCATTTTCAACTTGTTTTAAAATCACTGTTAATTAAAAAAACAGCATCTGCTTGTAAAACGAAAAAAAAAAAAAGGTAAAGTGGAGAGAAGGCTGAAATGAGCACGGAGTCAGCAGAGGGCAGCCGCTCTCATCCACTACCCAGCGTCTTTCTCACACACCGCTGTTTTCCGCTATTGAGCATTGTCAGCAAAAAAATAAATGGGGGGGCGGGACGGGAGACAAAGAGGGTAGGACCAGAGGCCGACAGTTTTTGTCTGCCACATCTGAGGCGAGAAGCCCCCTCTGGTTTCTTGCTGCAAAGGCAAGGGATCAGGTGAGACCCCTCCGGGTCCAACTCTATTTGCTTCTCCAGAAAGAGCAGTTTCCGGCAGCGAGCGCAGGATCCTTCGGCTGCTGAACTGAACACCGGAGCATTGTCAATGTTCCTATCTCTGACTTTACAGAGGAGGAGAGAGGACTGTGACTGCATTCCTGGGAAAGACTACTACTCCAGACGTGCCACACAGCAGTAGTGAAAAAACATAAGCAAGAGGTTGTAAAAATCCCTTCCAAAATACCAGGTTCTGAAGAAATGCTGCGAAGCATTAACATATTGTTGGCGTTTTTTGTAAGTCACCTATTCTTTCTCGCCACGGTCAACCCTCAAATCTCTGGTACTTGTTGCTAAATCTTTACCTCACGCCCCCCTCAAAATTGCCCAATACAATGAGATCTGGGGAGCGAAAGGCGGGAGGGGGGCCTAATCTCAGGAACCCAGAGGGCTGGTCTCCCTTCCATAGGCCACTCTGCATGGGCTGCGCGTTCACTTTTACCTTCTGAGAGCTCTGATTCACAAATGCCGGGGTGGGGAGGGGGGGCGGGTGATTATGACATACAGCATTATCCTTCCAACCAAAGATAGATAAATGCCGGCCAGCGGTCCTTGCCTGGCCAGAGAGCCAAAGCCTGAGCCCCCCGACGGGGCGGCCCGGGTAGGAGCCTCCCGCCCTGCCCGCCTCCCTCCGGACGCCCGCGGAAGATGCTCCCCACCCCGGCAGGCTCGAGGAGCCAGGATGGGGCGCCCTCACCCTGGGAGAGGGCAGGGAGCGAGCTGAGGGTCCGGGACGGAGGGACTCTCACCGCAGCTGCGCCGAGCGCCCGGTACCCCACCCCGGACCAGGTCTCGGGCGGAGGCGCTCTGCACCGGGGCTGGCCGCCGCAGCCAGGGACGGACAAAGCACTGGGGTCTGCGGCGACCTCGGGAGGCGGCCGCGGGCCAAGTTAGCCAGACTCGGGGTCCCGCGGGCAGGGCAGCGCAGCACTGACCTGGATGGTGCAGGTGTACTCGCTGTCGTCCAGCAGCCGCACGGTGCAGCTGTACTCGCGCTCCAGGCTCCTGCTGCTGCCGCTCATCAACCTGCTCAGCATCTTCCCGCCCGCCCGCCGCCGGGAAAGACGCGGCGGCGCTGCGGACCCCGGACCAGGCGCCCCTCAGCCGGGCAGCTCCGCGCGGGCCCCGGGCACCTGCACCATCACCCCAGCCCGGTCGCGGCCGCTGCCTCCTGCTGGCCCAGCTCCTCCTTCTTCTCCTCCTCCTTCTCCGCCACCGCCTCCCCCCAGCCCAGAGCAAGCGCTCCGCTCTCTCTCCTCCGCGCCCTACTCCCCATGCCCAGCTCGTGGGGCGGGGCCTCGGCCGGAGAAGGGCCAATGGGGGTCAGCGCGGCGGAACCGAGTGGCACACTGTTGAGCCAATAGAAATAGGGCACTGGGATGATGAACAGGTGATGAAAGCAATCACGGGAAAGCAGTCGGACAGAGCCTAGCGGGACCAGCCCTCTGGCGTCCTAAACGAGGGGCTCCTCTCCTCTCTGCGGTTCCTCTAGAAGCTGTTTCCCCTCCCCCGGGCCAGGTGTGGGCACCCGGCCAGATAAATGTCTGCTGCGTGGAATACGTTTAGACTCGGGCTTCAGGGGTCAAGTCCCACGCTCTGCAACGCCGCGAGTCCCGCCCTCTCGGGAGCCGGGGCGGTGCGAGATAAAAATCACCGCACCTGCAGAATGTAGGCACCTTCAGCTCCGGACCAGGCGGCTGCCCCCACCTGAGCTGTACCCCAAGTCGGCCAGACGGGCGTGTCTGCTCCAGCTCTCTTATTTCGGAGAACATCTGTTTTACAGGAGCTACTTAAGTAAAAGCTGTAGGGTTCGCAAGGGTTTTTTAAGCACCCGGGTTTAACCCCTAGGAAACCCTCCACTCTAACATCCTATGCCTCCCTTTTATTTTCAGAAGACAAAAGGAAGAGACTGAGGTGTGCTCCTTCAGCTGGTAGGGTGCAGAGGCAGTGATGGGTCCTTTCCTTGCTCCTTCAGAACTAGAATTACCGTATCTTCAGACCTCCTCAACAAAACACCGGAGTATGTCAGGAGGTATATATCGCAAAGAAAAAAAAATTGTCTCCTGCCCTTTGTGACCCCACATTCTAAAGACCTCATGTTCTTTACGGAAACTTCACCAAGAAACATAATATTCTTCCTCAAAATTTTTTGATGGAAGGAAATGTTATATAAAAGAATCATATCAACACATTAATGCTGTAATAAATATATTAACTGAAAAATAATGAAATACGCATAATTTCGCATTTTCATTTATACTGGTCTTGTTTATAGGATAACAAACACATAACAAAAATGAAACCCTACATTAACTTAGAAAACATCTGACCTTTAAAGTAAGTCCCCTGGAGGGGGGTGGTTCTGGGCTGTCTCAGTCCGTAGAACATGTGACCCTTGATGGGGGTGAGGGGGTCGTGAGCTTGAGTCCTACATTGGGCTTAAAACCTACTTAAAAAAATAAAGTATGCTTCTTCCCCAGTGTCCTTGGATTCCAGTATTTCTCCCCAATTTTTTGCGTGGGACCCTCCCCCTCTTCAGTAATCACCTCAGTAACCTGGATTGCTCTCCTTCTTAGTTGCAATCTCCTTTGTGGCATTCAGCAGTCATAAGAGGAGGTTTGACTTTTCAAGGTAATCCTGGAGGAGTTAAGAAACTAGAACAGTGAGTCAGATAGTCTAGGCTTCAAACCAAATGTGAGTTCCTCTACTATGTAGCCCCAATAGGCAGCCTGGGTGTGCAACATAGTAGGTATTCAATAAGTGTTTGTTGCATGAAGTAAATTAGCTATTTTATAGTGTCTAAGTCCCAGGGAAAGATCTATGAAGAAACTAAGAATTTCAGGAAGGCCTTGGACACATGAAATTATTAACATGCCAAAGTGATGTTCTACAAAGTTCAGCTTTGTTGTGTAGTTGGGAGAAGATAATGAAAGATTTCAGGCAAGCAGAACTTATGTTGAAGGCAAAAGTTGCTATTTGTTTACAGAATCTATAAGAGCAAGAAAAAATGTCCAAGAAGCTAGAGGAACCCCAGTAGTTTGACAGTAGGGAAATGTCTTTAACAGGTTATGCAAATAAGCAGCTGTTAGAATAAAAAGGCAAACACCATGAATCCAGAAAAGCTCTAAGGAACTGAATGCAGTCTTTTTTCAGAGTATGACCAGAGATGCAATCAACAGGGATGAGATTGTGGCTGTTATGCCAACGTGTTAAGTAACATTCCTGTTCAACCTAAGAAAATCATGTCAACCTAGATGCTCACCTCATTGAAAGACCAGTTAGATATTCACCCATGCATATACGTAATATCCAGAAAGAGCTTCAAACTCTCCCTTACTCGCTTAATCAGAACACTTTGTGAGGAAAACAGAGGATGGATACATAATGGAAGAAAAGCACCTATCAGTTTCTGGTTAAATGTACACCTATACGGGGATCAAGAGCAGAAGCCTAAGGGAAACTAAACAGAGAAGACTCATATAAAATCAAACTGAGGAATATTTTGTTTTTCTTTGTTTTTCTCAAGTCTTTTGAGCAGGATGTCCAGTATAATAAGGCTTTGTTCAATAAAAGGCCTCATGTGCCCTTGTTAATCAGAGCATCATAGCTTTCATGAATTTTTTAGTGTAAAGGAGGCCCTATTTAAAACTCCAAACTACAATGACTGAGCTCCCACCTTCCAAATTATTAGGATATAAGCCTCCTTTAAAGTTTCTCTCCCTGGGGCACCTGTGTGGCTCAGTCGGTTAAGTGTCTGTCTTCGGCTTGGGTCATGATCCCAGGGTCCTGGGATGGAGTCCCACAACTGGCTCCCTGCTCAGCCAGGAGCCTGCTTCTCCCTCTCCCTCTGCCCCCCCTACTTGTGATCTCTCTCTCTCTGTCAAATAAATAAAATCTTAAAAAAAATAAAGTTTCTCTCCCTTCTTTCCTGTTGAGGAGTCCCTAGGGCAGATGGTATCACCAACATATGCCTGAAATAAGTGAATTACTCCTGCCTCTACTTCAGATGTCCCATACCCTGATATTCTGGGACACTGATCTCTCTCCAGCCAATGCACCTTTCACCAGTATCTTGGGACCTGGCAGAAAAAAGCATTGCCCTCTCTTCTCCAGGACATCACAAATGCAGGTTCTTCCCATCAAAGTCTCCTTACAGCACAACTAAGACCAGTGTTATGTAACAATGTTAGAAAGGAAGAATAATCCAGAGTAACCTGCAGTTATGACATGGCTACTCTCAAAGCCCTCATGGGCTTTATTGTTGAGCTTGCACCCAGGGTCCATGTGGCTGATGACAGCTTCCCTCTCCATCAAGAGTTCCCCCGACCATGTCTTGGGCATTCGGGCTCAACCACAGAGAGAAGAAGCTCAGAGAAGAAAACAACTCTCCTTATCCAATTTAAAGTCCATTTTCAAAGTCCCATTTTCTGTCTGAGTTGCTGCCTCTCACTAGGATGACTGACTTGGGAATATCTACTCCTTTAGAGGAGACCCCACCTCCCATCGCCAGGGGTATGACCTTAACCTTTGACCCAACTGGGCCATTGCCTTAAGAGCATTAACTGTCCAACATCAGCACATTTCTCACAAAGACTGAGTCATTCAGTCTTTACAGGTAGGTCCAGGTAGAGCTTCGCCAAAACCAGTCCAGTCCCTTTGCATAATTATTTCTCCAGTAAATAGTAATGATCATGCCTGTCCTTGTTTGCCTATATCTTTTAGATCTCAGCTTTCGCACTCCTCAGAGCAAGGGCTCAAAGGAAGACATTCACATCGTCACAGAAACAATATATTGACACATATGCAGTCTACATCTACAGAGAGAAAAGAAACAGTTTTTCTCTTCTCTCATGCAGCAATGTCTGCGGAAGCAAAGCTCCAGCTCCACACACACAGATTTGCATATCCAAATGGAGCACCCAGCTTCACAGACTAAAAGCATCTATACTCAAGTTATAGTTTTCCAAGAATAATAAACGTATACCTGCTTTAATAGGAGAGGTTGAACAATTCATGTAGTTTTTCCAGAGCAGTCTACCTCTGAAGAAATGTTCAAGTCTTCTTTTTTTTAATCAGGACAGAATTCACCTATGGTTTAACAGACAGTTTTTCCATCTTCTACCAACTCTTAGGATTTTCAGTTTAGCCCCATTGTACTTAGAAGAATTTTTTAATGTGTATTTTTATGTGGAAATATAAGTGCCTGTGTTTTTTTATTCCAAACTACATTTTTTGAGCGTTTACTATGTGTTAGGCACATACTCTGTGTCAGCTTTCTAGAAAACATGAGACATAGCCGAAAGAATATGGGAAAATGAAATGTACAAACCAAGAAGTTCACAATCTAGGAGAGAAGGTTAGGTATATAAACAATTAGCTATCATACCATACATGGAGCATGAGCAAAGCACTACAAGAGAACAACAAATGGTAAATTATTTAAGCATGGGAGACAGCAAAGTCTTACAGAGAAAGCATTTGAGTTGAGTCCCTAGAAAAAGACTAGTATGGTGATGCCTGCAGATAGCAGAAGAGCAAGATATGGGATGAGGAGTCACATTTTAAATAGAGGAAACAACATGAGCAAAGACATAGAAGCACAAGTATGTATAGCATGTTTCAGAAATTGCAAGTACCCCTGGATGGATAGCATGTGGGATGCATTGGCTAGGAAAAAGTGGACTGAGGCCAGAACATCCAGGACCTTCCGTGCCATAGTTAGGAATTTGGACTCTGTTGTATAGACTGTGGGGGGGGGGAGGGCGGGCATTGCAGGTTTTTAAGCAGAGAAATGACAGGATCAGATCTGTGTTTGGAACTGATCATTTTGATAGCAGTATCAATGATTACATTACAGAAAGAGGAGATTATTTACTAGGGGGGAAAGGCATTCTGAAAACAATAGAATGTCCTTAACGAGGCATCAGAAGCATTTATAATAGGTCTCTCAGATGCGGGTGACAGGCTTTATTATATTTTCCAATTATGGTTCATTTTCCTTGTATTTCCAGCCAGTCTTCAGCCATTGTTCTAGCAACAAAATGTATATGAAACAAAGCAAGTTAGTTCATTTATTCAAAAAAAATTTATTAATGGTCTACTATGTGCAAGTCCCCATGCCAGGTGCTGAGAGAATTCAAAGAAGAATAAAACACATTCCCAATCTTCATAGAATTTACAGTTCCATGAAAACTGCAGAATTACTTCAACAATATTAAGTATTCAGTTTATGTAGATTAATATTCAACACA